CAACGTGCGTTAATAAATGCTTTAAAATACCAAGTCCTTGGGGTGTCGTCCACCATACATTCACACCAAGGCCTTGAAGCTCATTACACCCGAGCTTTCACCAGTTGTAGTTCCACCACGCTGCGAGGTCTTGAAGCTCGTATACCTCTAGAGTTAGTTGTAGTTCCACCACACCTTGAAACTCGTATACCTCCAGAGTTAGTTGTAGTTCCACCACGCTGCGAGGTCTTGAAGCTCGTATACCTCTAGATTTAGTTGTATTTCCACCACATCTTGAAGCTCACATACCTCTAGAGTTAGTTGTAGTTCCACCACACTCCGATGCCTTGAAGCTTATATACCTCTAGAGTTAGTTGTAGTTCCACAATGCTACGAGGCCTTCAAGCTTATATACCTCTAGAGTTACTTGTAGTTCCACCACGCTCCGATGCCTGGAAACTCGTATACCTCTAGAGATTTTTTCCCCACCATTCCCTGAGGCCTTGAAGCTCATATACATCTGGAGTTAGTTGTATTTCCACCTCATCTGGATGCCTTGGAGCTCATATAGCTCTAGAATTAGTTGTAGTTCTACAATACCTTGAGGCCTTGTAATCTTTATTCCCCTAACATTCATTATTGTCGACTTTATATTATTATTACAGAGGTGACCAATCAAGTCAGTTAGTCACCCTACTGACGCGAAAACGCATCTTGCACTTTGGTTTGTTTGTTTGTTTTGAAGTTAAGCACAAAGCTACACAATGGGCCGTGTGTGCTCTGCCCACCATGGATATAGAAACCCGGTTTCTAGCGTTGTAAGCCTTGCACTTTGGAGCTGTGAGTGCGTTATAAGAGTGACGCACTATACTGCAAACAAAAATATCCCTAGAGCTACCGGTGGGTGCCGTTGATTGTTTGTTTATTTTGAATTTCGCGCAAAGTTACATGAGGGCTATCTGCGCTAGCCGTCCCTAATTTAGCAGTGTAAGACTAGAGGGAAGGCAGCGAGTCATCACCACCCACCGCCAACTCTTGGGCTACTCTTTTACCAACGAATAGTGGGATTGACCATTAAATTATAATGCCCCCACGGCGGAAAGAGTGATCATGTTTGGTGTGACGGTGATTCGAACCCGCGACCCTCAGATTGCGAGTCGAGCGCCCTAACCACCTGGCCATGCCGGACCCGATAAAGCCGAATACAGTTAAAAAGATTTTGAAACAAGTTGGGCATTTTCGTCTACGTGGAGAAGAAGGCATGTATTTACGGAGTCAGTATTTATTTATAAACCTAAAACTAAATATTCCCTTGCCCATTTCCGAGATAAAAAATATATACACCTTGTGGAAATTCAAGAAAAGTTATTACTGCACATGCTCGGTAATTGCTACCATGATATAATGAAATTATTTTTTTATTTCATTTGGGAATATATTTCACCGAGAGAAAACTAAAGCTGCGAAAAGTGAAGTAAATACAGAAAACATTGTCTCGATGGCTACTAACAATGACTACTCAACTACTTTCGTTTTACGAATAACTAAAGAACGGACAGTTGAGAGAAATGAGTACGACTTAACCTTACGCCAAGATTCTTTTGTAAACATTGGATGCATTAAATGCATGTAAGAAATATGTAAATTTTCTCACCATGCTGGTGTTAGGAAAAGCAAGAGGGAATCCTCAATAGCCGCGGCACTTGAAATTCTTTTAGGCAGGATTAGAGTAAATTAATCTACGAGAATTTTATGTGCGCCAGCAATACCAAGAGTGGGGGTGCGTATACTCGATTCGATTTTATTACTCATCAGGATATCTTGAAATTATTTTAGGCAGAATTAGAGTAAATTCATCTATGACACCTTTGGCGTGATCAAATAGATCAATCGAGAGGGTTTGACCTCCCGAGTCCAAAACTCTAATTAGATCTCAAATCGATAAAGAGATTACGGAGCTATGAGCTAAAAGTTTGTACTTGAAAAAAAACAAAACTCGAAGTCATTCTATGAGCCGCTTTGCCGCTGCTAAAAACGTGAAAAGAGTTTAAAACTCCATACTGAGGCAGTTTTACCGTGTGGAAATAGAAGATAAAGAAAATTCTATAGGATAGTTATAAAGAAATCTCCCATATTTAAAATGATTACATTATGAAAACTACTTGTTCTGGGGGAACAAAATTTTACCGAGGTAGATTGAGAAACATGAGCAGTTTTAAAATATTATTATCACTGCACATTTAGATAGGTTTTCTCACAAACTAATACTGTTTTTTTCTCTCTCTCTATTTCAAAACTTTAAGATTGGTGATTTCAACAATATAAGATTGGTGATTTTAATAACATAGGTGCCAGTGTTCAAAATCATGTGACTATTGACCAACTGTGTAATCAAAATAACACAGTCAAACGTCCTTCTCCCAAAAGAAAAAAATGGACGCCCACTTCCTGTCTTGTGAGAAATCCCCTGGCCGTTACATTAACAGGTGTTTGGCTGGTAGAAGGGATTTATATCAAAATATCCAATGAAATTTGAAGAATTTGTAACTAATGGCCATTAGAAATAAATTTGCAAGAAACAATGAAAGTTATCCAAAATAGATGATGCTTTTGTTATAGTTTCGTTTAGAGACAGGTTTGATATATTGATTGAGATCGGTGGAAACTTTTCATGAATAAAACTTGTGATTCTCATGCGCCCCTATGTAGTTTTTAAGGAGCAATCATTTAAGGGGCTTTTTATTCATAATCGCCCTAGCGATACACAGAGTGGTGGTAATATTCTACACTTAGGGGATTTATTATCCGAGAACAGTCATTCATAGAGGTTTCCCCCACCCCTACCCTCCATAGAGCTGAGACAGAGAACAGTTATGTGAAATGTCCTCTCCACAGAACTGAGAGCAGTTATGTAAAGTGTCCCCTTCACAGAACTGAGACTGAGAACAGTTATGTAAAGTGTTCTCTCCACGGAGCTGAGACTGAGAACAGTTATGTAAAGTGTCCCCTTCAGAGTTGAGGCTGAGAACAGTTATGTACAATGTCCCCTCCACAGAGCTGAGACTGAGAACAGTTATGCAATATGCCCCCTCCAAAGAGCTGAGACTGTGAACAGTTATGTAAAGTGTCCCCTCCACAGAGTTGAGGCTGAGAACAGTGATTCAAGGTACCCCCTTAATAGAACTGAGACTGAGAACAGTTATGTAAAGTGTCCCCTTCACAGAGTTGAGGGTGAGAACAGTTATGTACAATGTCCCCTCCACAGAGCTGAGACAGAACAGTTATATATTTGTCCCCTCCACAGAGCTGAGACTGAGAACAGTTATGTAATGTGCCCCCTCCACAGAGTTGAGGCTGAGAACAGTGATTCAAGTGCCCCCTTAATAGAACTGAGACTGAGAACAGCTGCTTAGATTGTCCCTCCAATCATCCACAGAGGTGAGACATATATATCATTTCTTTGGTTCTATCAACGCATAAAGAGCACACCCACAACGTCAAGATTTTAGTTAAATAAATGTATCATGCAACGCTTCTAAATTAAGTTTTCTAGCTCAACATCTTGTTTACCCCTTCGATCACTAGGCAACTTTGCTAAAATCTCAATTTATAGGCACATATAAGTGGTTATTTACATTGTCTAAGCTATATGGACGTGTTTCGTAATTTATGTTTGCCTCCTGTATCAACAACAGTAAAGCGTATTTTTCTCTATCCATTTAGATTAATTATTTCCACATTAATATAGTAGGTAATTATGTGCACGTGCGTTAACGCTTTTTAAGAGGAACATATATTATATATATTCCTATTTATTTCTATTTGTACACATTTTCAGTAAATCCCACGCGACTGCATTAACTTGCACCTATAATCAATACTTGGTATATTAAGTTTAGTAAAACTGTAAAACACTAACTTGAACTAAAAATTTACCCACCCTAACGGAATTCCTGAGCAGTAACAGGCCTTAGATAAAGGATGTGATGAATGACGGAAGGGATTACTATTCTAGAAACTATCGTGTCTCTGCTGAAAGATAACCAAGTATTATACGGGGCGAAAAGGTATGATTTAATATGCTCGAGAGAACAGTAACTGGAAATTACAATATATCCTGTTATGAAAGCAGTGGACTTCACAGAGTTACGCTACCTTGTCTACACACGATAATGGTAGGCTTGCAGCTCTTCTGATATATGTTTATGTATACATATATTTAAACAAACACAAGTACTTAGCTTCTGTGTTTTAGTAGAGTTCTGTTATCTCTTCAGAGCTTTACAAGGTTATGAATGTGGAGAAGCAGGCCTTATAATTGGATTAGCGCTTGGTGTTCAAGACCTATCAGTATTACTAAGCCAAGTATGTATACTTCGTATACAGTTCAATATGTGTAGGGTTGAATAAAGATAGCTACTAAAATATGCAATACAGATTAGAGAAGTGATGTTTTCACCAGATACGATCATGATTGAACGATGTATAATGACCGCTAAGTTCATGAACGGTTGTTTGTATTTATTACCATTTTGTTACGTGTTTGTGCTGATAAATGTTGCTATTGTTGTATCTTTTGAGCAACCCTCAGTTTGACTTTCTCAATCTTCAGTTGTTAAAGACCACGTATTGTAAATGAAGTGTGAAGTATGATATTTATTATTCATTTAAATGTTTCTCTTTTTTTTTCAAACAGTGTGTAATATCGTAATATAACTATTTCACTATCGCGGGGCATATATGTCCCCCTCTAGTGCACTGTCAAGCGAGTTTGGAATTTTGCACCACTCTAAAGAAAGGTTATTCCCATTTAAACTTCCCATGGATTGCCACTTTTAAGTTTCAGATAGATAATGAAACATGATTGATTTTGTGTTTGTTATTTTGTATCCAAAAATGACCTTTTCACTGGGAGAGTTGTTTACCTGTATTTGTGAAAGTGAAAGATTTATTTTTCTTATCATAGTTCAACTTTATTGTTTATTACGAATAAACCACGGAACTGTTTGTTGTTTTGACAGTTTTAAGTCTACGCAACACACAAGAGGAAGAACCCCCAGACCCACAACTGATGCGGTTAGACAATATGCTAATAGCTGAGGGCGTAGCGGGACCAGAGAAAGGTGGAGGTGCCGGTGCGGCTGCGAACGCCTCGGCTGCGGCCTCTGGTGGACCAGGACAAACTGAAAATGCAATCGAACACTCAGATTATCGAGCAAAACTAGCTCAGATAAGACAAATATATCATCAGGAATTAGAAAAATATGAACAGGTAGGTAATCAGTTAGGCATAAAACCAATAGACGTTCTAAGTAACTTAGTATTAGAAATACTTTAAAATCAATTGTTTTTTGTTCTTTTTTTTTACAATAATGTAGTGCTGGATTAGACTTCGTTACATATAGATGTAGGACTCATGCAGTTTCTGGCTCTAAGTTGTCTATTAATTTCATTTTTTATGTCACTATAAACGTTGTTTTGGATGATTTGATTTATGTTTTTACTTCCAAACTTTTTTGAATGTGTTTTCTAATACTTATTATTAAAATCTGTCTTCCGCATATTTTTGTATAGTCTAGATCATAAGTAAATTAAATAACTGTGAATTATGTTATAAAATACCAGAAGTATTAAGTGGAAATAACTGTGAATTATGTTATAAAATACCAGAAGTATTAGGTGGAAATAACTGTGAATTATGTTATAAAATACCAGAAGTATTAAGTGGAAATAACTGTGAATTATGTTATAAAATACCAGAAGTATTAGGTGGAAATAACTATGACTTATGTTATAAAATACCAGAAGTATTAGGTGGAAATAACTATGACTTATGTTATAAAATACCAGAAGTATCAGGAGGCTTTCTAATTTCCATTTCTAAACAATTCTGAAAACCAGTGGTCCTCGTCAGAAAGAAATGAGTCTTTAAGGTTGGTTATTTTGTAGAAGTTAATATCAAACTTTGAGATGTGACAATATTCTGAAAAAGTAGTTAAAATCTTTGGGAAACGTTAACTTTGAAAGTAATCATTTTCTCAGGGTATAGTAAAAAAAAAAACAACATAAAAAACCCAAATCCTTGATGTGTTCTATCCTTTTAAAATAATCAAACCATTGAATATATTATAATCCTGTAAGTTAATGGAACCCCTTGAGGTACGTTAACTTTGAAAGGAACCGTTTTCTCGGGTACTGTATTCCCCTTTGAAAAACCCAAATCCTTAATGGGTTCTATCCTCTTTAAAATAGCCAAACCCTTGGATATAATAATGTAATCCAGCTCAACCTATAGAATATTTTGTTTGTTTTTAAGCTTCTTGTACCCTGTCTACTGCATGTTACTGAAACCCGATTTTTAAACAGAATCAATAGAGGGGGCGCCCTAGAGTGAATATTGTTTTTAGGAACAAAAATATTTTTAGTATAATAAGTATTCTGACCTCTTGCAAAACCAAATTCGTGAATATCTTTATATATTTGAAAAACGGTGAAGTATTTGATGAATTCCATCCTCATGAAATGAAATTAAATATTTGGGGTATATTGTTGTTGTTTTTTAAAACCAACCAAATTTATCTTAAGGGTACGTCTGCCTTTTAGCCAATGGTTCTGAATAATATTTATTTCTGTGCTTTTTCTCTCTTTTCATTCAGAAATAGACCAAAAAAATCCAAAAGTTGTTCACTGTAATTCGTTATTATGTAGCAAAAATAAACAGAGGAATAATGTAGAATATTTCAGAAATATATATTCAACGAAATTCGTTTTAACACTTAACCGCCTGGCGCCTAACTTGACTGATTCCAGTCAGTTAACCACGCATGTGCATTCCTCCGATACTCTTGTGGCTCAAGTTTCGTCATTGGTTGATTAAGCTACGCATGGTCATAACATTCTTAATCAGATATTTGTCTGTCTCAGAAATTAACAAAGACCGACAGCTTTGTATAGTGAATAAAATAGCCATTCAGATGATAGAACTACCAGGACAATTATTTTTAGGTTGTAATGCAGGAATTTGAAACGGTTAAAAATTTAGAAAAATCAGTTTTAAAGATGTTCATGCTACTTGTAGTTGTTCTGTGCTGATAGTCATCAGTCGTTTGGTTTAGTAGCGCCTCCTTAGGCCTAGCTTCGACTATGGCGCCACCTTTTTAACTTGCTACCGTGTAAAGTGATTGAGGAGGATCGACATTATTCCCTCTAAGTGGTTTTTATACTGTGTTGCTGGAATGGTTGATAACCCTTCTTGAAACTTGGATCAGTAATTTGTATGATAATGTACAAGTTCGCCGTTTCAATCACTGACCGTGCTCACATCTAGCGGCAGTTTGGGTAATTACAGTGTCATGTGATCCATCACTTTTGGCCTCATAACTGTCTTCGTACTAGAAAAGCTGATGGTGCTTGTAGTCGTGACGTATAAACATACAAACCCAATCGTTCTGAGTTTTTGTAAAAATTTAACCAACTTTGAAACACATCACATATGAGTTGATGACCTTGAACGGGCCAGAAACCATAACCAAACTACGAAAAGATAGATTGGCGTATATAAACATTAATTTAGAACTGTTAGCGAAGGTATTTCTGTGGATATATTTTCTTTAATGTCATTATATCTTATCCAACTATTCTGATTATTGAAGATTAATGTCCCCAAATTATTATCTTTTGTAGTGTAGGTTCCATCTAAAGCTTAGATCCACGGTTAGACCATATTATGATTTAGTCTAGATCCACTGTAGTGCTTTGTGTTATTAAACAAAGTGCCATGCCAGCAATTGCTAGTGAGTTAACCCTTTAGTTCTGTTTGTAGAGCACTCGTTTGTCGTTCGAGATTCTCGGGTTCGATTCTGAGTCGAAGAAATAAAAGCATTGACTTACCACGTCATGTCAACCTGCGTGGTGAAGAAGTATAGGTCCATGTAATCACGCACTATGAAGTCTGATAATGAGCCACGACAATAATTGTAAATATCTTTAACAAATGTTTCGGAATTACACATATTCCATCTGCAGCAAATCCATGAAAAAGGCAAATTGAACAAACTTTAGTATAATTACTAATATAAAAATACAATTAATAGTGTTAGGAAATTATAAAATATTCATTCAAAAAAAAAGGAAGAAAGCTATTTGATTAAAGCAAGGAAAGAATGAGTTAGGTGAAGTTTAATCCCAGTTTTATTAGAAACTGCCATATGTTCCCAGGCGCGTATTTGTAAATGGCGTTCACTTTGTACTGTCTTCAAATCGTCACTTCGTATCAGTAGCTTTTTTAGAACTAAATACATTTTACCTTTACCCTTACGTTCAAAGGTCATATATAAATGTATATGGGGTAGCTGGATAGCCACCTACATAAGCAAGAATTCTCGCCTGGGAACATATGGCAGTTTCTTATAGAACTCCACCTAACTCTCCTATATATATTCTCACAACGAAACGTCATCACACTCATTTCCTTAGAAGACTTTTCAATTCTAAATTATCGATCACGAACTGTTGATAAAAGAAGATATACATATGAACGAAAATCCAAGCCTCAAACCCATTCCCCCTTGCTTTATTCAAATAGCTTTCTCTCCTTTCTTAAATTCAATATGTTATAATTTCCTAACACTATTCATTGTATTTTTATATTGGTAATTATACTACAGATTGTTCAATTTGTTGTTTTCCCTGATTTGCTGATGATGGAATATGTGTAACTCCGAAACGTTCGTCAAAGATGTTTACAACTGTTGTTGTGGCGCTGTGAAGTGGTATAGGTCCATATCATCATGTATTTAGATATGTCTATGTTTTTTTTTGAGCGTACAGTACTATCGACTTCTTTTTTGTTCAAATCATTGAACCTACTTTATAATGTATTGTGAATCCATTTCTCATCATAAGTTTTTACTGAACGATCCTGAATAATCGGTAAGTGCTTTGTGAACCTTAGATCCACGTCCAATTAGCATGATCCTAATTAATCGGTAAGTGCTTTGTGAACCTTAGATCCACGTCCAACTAGTAGGATACTAATTAATCGGTAAGTGCTTTGTGAACCTTAGATCCACGTCCAACCAGTACGATACCTAATTAATCGGTAAGTGCTTTGTGAACCTTAGATCCACGTCCAACCAGTACGATACTAATTAATCGGTAAGTGCTTTGTGAACCTTAGATCCACGTCCAACCAGTACGATACTAATTAATCGGTAAGTGCTTTGTGAACCTCAGATCCACGTCCAACCAGCACGATCCTAATTAATCGGTAAGTGCTTTGTGAACCTTAGATCTATGTCCAACCAGCAAGATCTCTACTTTCAACGCTTTTCGTTCACTTTATTTGTAATGAAAAGTTTTGTTCATGTGATTTGTTTTGTGAAACGTATTCTAGTTTATAAAATGCGGACAAGTGTGAAAACATTATGTAAAAACAACTAAAATTATGGCTTGAAAATGAAGAAGTAAAACAAACGATCGTGAATAGTATTTTATATTTCGCTTTCACTACGCTTGTTTTGTGTATGCATTTACTCACCTCTGCTGTTTTGAATAGGATAATAGCTGATAGTTTGAAAAGGTTTACAGCTGACTTTTTCAAAGTAACACCAACTCCGTCGAGACTTAAAAGTGCCATATCTTATTTAGCTGGCCGATGTGTCAGAACTGTCACAACGACGTGTGGCAATATCTACCTCGGGAGGATCCAGCCTTAGGCCTTAGCTGTACAGCCGAGAAACTTGACAGCCTGCTTGTTGGACCACATGTGTCGGCAGAGCCTGGGGAGAAACCCAATTGATCTGTTTAAATTTTTCATTGGGATCCCCAGCTGTGGACCTTTCGAGTTCCACCCCAGCTTAGGTGCTCGTGGGAAGAATCACCTGCGACCAAGTGGGTTTGCATCTCGGATCTATTTGGTCGTAAACCTTCCCATCCAATACAAGCTCCTTGCGGTTTGCAACAATAGAGGTGCTGTCAAAAATGAAATCTTTCGACTGGAGGAATTTTTCAGCTCCTTCATTAGGATCAAGATGGATCGCTCTGCCAATACAGGAGCTGGCCACGTGATAGGACCTGAGCTTATGCTCCTCTCTCTCTCGTATATCTATCACGTGCGTGAAACACATAGACTGACAGATGGAAGCTGTACACGCGCAGATGTCTTAATAATGTTGACCATCAAGTGAACCAGTTGTAAAGTGTGAATACAGGTGTATTTTCGGTACACATTTACTTTCGAAAACTGTTTTACCGGAAATACACGTATCACAC